AGTTCCGTGATAACAACAGATCCGGTCTTCTTGCTTCCAGGCTGAACCCTCCACCTGCCCTGAGTTGCTTCTACAAAATCACGTCTGGCCATTTCACTCTCCTGCTCAAGAACTTGCAATGGCTCCCTGGAGCCCTTGAAATAAACTATGAACCCTCAACACTGCCTTCAAAGCACTTCACAATCTGACCTCAGCCTTCCCTTCTACATCTTGCTCAGCTCCAGACACAGTCCCTCTCCTTCCCGGCTCACAGTCGAGCCCCACCAGATTCCTCAATGTCCCTCAGCTAATCCATACCTCTCCAAGCTACTCCCCTTGACTGCAATGATCCTTTGGCCCTTTGGTTCCTGATAAACTTCCATTCATCCTGTAAGATGCAGCATAAGCATTACCTTCTCTATGCAAAGCCTTTCTTGCCCCTCTAGACCTCCTGGGAATTCTCTGGAACATTCTCTTTCACGTGCCTGAAAGTCCTCAAGAGGATAGGCCATCTGAGATTTAGAGCTGCTCACCTGCCTGTGACCGTAAGTCTGTGGCAGAAGCCTTGTAGGGTTTTGTTTGCCCAGATTTGGTATTGCTTAAGACAACATTAAGCCTTTCCTGCAGGACCAGAGGCTCCTCAAAGGCCACCATCTTGGTGTCCCCAGCACTGAGCCCAGGGACTGGCACTGAGTAGGGCTGAGTGCACAAAGAACCCACAGAAGATGCAGCCCCTCCCCTCCCCTCCCCCCCTCCCCCATTGTTAGCTTGAGTCCTGCTGATTCACCAGCCGGCCTGGCCGGCCCCCCTCCCTCTGAAGTACAGAATGACAACTTGACCAGTGGCTAACACTCCCAGAGATGACATTAAAATGGAACAGATATAAGCCCTCATAGGGATCCTCACCCACATCCACGCTGTTCCAATTATGAGATGTTTAGTCTGTACTGTCTCCCCTGGCCTTTCGACCCACGACAGAGACGGCGTCATTCCTGACAGAAACAGAAGCCCCCTCTCCCCCCCACCCCGGGATTCTCTGCCTCGGGGTGAGCACCAAGCAAAGACTCCAGGCCTTTGGCCCACTGCCGGTTCTGGGATGCTGAGTGACTGGCTACTTCCCTAAACTCTGCAGTCTCTGGACACAGTGTCGTGAGGTCAAGGGGTGGGGACGGATCTTTTGGTTGCTGTTTTCCTCAACCTCCCCACAAGTGCTCAGAGAAGTCCTTCAGGGATTACCTGGAAAGCAGGCCTTATGTTTTTGTTGTTTTGGGTTTTTTTTTTTTTCCTTTGGGGGAGTCCCTGCAGAAGAGTTTTGTCACATTGCCACCTTGAAGACATGGCTGGGGCATGAAGACCTTCTTCCCCAAGAAGCCCCAGGTGCTGGTTCTAGGGCCCATCTCCCTTCCCTTTCACAGAATCTTCCAGTTTCTGGGGTGAGTGCCTTCCCCAGGGGACAGGATGACCAGGATTTCCAGGCCAGGGAGATCTGATATTTATTTTGATTCTCCACCCCCGTCCACACATGCCAGCATCATGTTCCCCACTCTTTATGCTCCCAGAGCACTTTGCACCTTGATTCTGGTTTTCCAGATGCGAATTCATAATTATCTGTGATAACCTATGAATGAGGAGCATCTCTGCCTCCTTATATGAGTGACACAGAGAAGGGGCCCAGGGGTTGAGGAGGCCGCCTTCCCTCCCACCCTTTCCCTGGATTCCACTCTATGGAGAAGGAGGTCCCTGAGGTTAGCTCCACCGCTCGGAGGGCAGAAGAATAATCTAGAAGCCTTGCCTTCTCCGGGATGGCTTTCCTGCTATCCATGGTGATCATGGTGAGGTCTGCTTGCAACTTGGCGGGGGTAATCTGGCCCATCTCTTTCCCCTTTTTGCAGGAAATGATCATAGTAGCTGAAGTCATTAAGCACATACCATGTCCCGGACACTGTGCTACATGACCGATTTCCACTTTCTCATTTAAATCACACAATCAGCCTCTCAGTTGGGGTTGGAAAGCTGAAAAGACTTGCCTAAGGTCACGTAGCTAGTAATCCCTGTGCAACACTGCCTCCTTGTATGGCCTCGGCTGATCCCAGTCCATCCCTCTCCCTCCTGCTGCTAGCTAGCTGAAGGAATTCACCTCTCTGAGCCTGTGCTTCCTCATCTGAAACGTGGGAAAAACAATACTTCCCTCGAAGGTGGTTGCGAGATTCCCAGATACTCAGTGTGTCACACGCAGCGCCTGTTGCGCAGCGGTATTCCCACCCGCCATCAGCCCTCAGGCCTCCCCGGAGGGGTGGGGGAGGAGAAGGGTGACCTGCCATCCCCAACTACCCAGCTGTCGCAGCGGCGGGACAGCCCCGAGCTGTCGGCTCCCTGAGCTCCGTTCCACATCACAGCCGATTAGTTACAAATAGCTTCCTCTCCTCGTGTATCACTTACACAACAGAGAGAAAGGGGCGATTGTTCCTGAGGAGGAAGGTCTCCCAGGCCCTTCTCACCAGGCCAGCTGAGAGACGCAATGGGGAAAAGACAAGGGCCAGGAGGAAAAGCAGGGCATAGTTACAGGAGATAAGGATGCGGAGGGGTCCCTGCAGTTGGGAAGGGACCAGCTGAGCCTCCATCCTGGTGGGCAGCGTGCAGGCAGGGGACCAAGACTTAGCAAGCCCCCATGGGCTGGGAGGGCAGGAAAAGGAGGCAGCTCCGGCACCCGCTCGTGAGCCTGATTCCTCGACATCAGCTTGCCAAGTGGCCCCAACTGGGGAGGGACTGCCCACCCCGCTTTGGGTAGCCGGAGCACAGCAGGTGCCTGGCCTCTGGATGTCTCGAGAGCTTTGGACACCACCAGGATCCACACAAATGCCCTCCCTCAAAGCAACCGTGGCTGGCCAGCCCTCCAGCCCCTCTGGTTTCAATAAAGCCCCGGCTGGGACCAGGAAGGAGGCTCAGCGACAGAGAGGCTGCTGAACACGAGGTGCTGGCTATGGCCCCGGAGCCTCCCTTTGCCCTTGGTGGTCCTTGACTCTGCTGTCACCACTAAGCAAGGTCCCTCCATTAAAGTGGAGGGCCAAGCACGCACAGAGGACCCCTTTGTCATCCTCTTAGCACAGCTGAGACCAGCTGGCATTTTCACAAAGGGCTTTACTAAATACTAAGAGAGAACAAAAGGGAAATAATTACAGAAAACACGAAAAACCCAGCCCTGGCTGCCAAGTTCCCAAAGTACAGGTTTCCGATCCTCTGGTGACGACACGTCGCCCCGAAGGCCTGGGACAGGGCGGCGGGCACCTTGCCTGGCTTCCCTTATTCACAGCCCTCGTGGCTGGTGCCATCTTGTTCCCCCCCCCCGGCCCCGGGAACCACTTGGTCACCCGTGGGCTCTACTTTTGTCTCCTTTCCAACTTGAGCCCACCCCAGGCCCCCCACTAGGTTCTGGTCTCTGGCCAGAAGCATGAGCCTTGTCCCCTGGGGGCTGGTGGGGCTGTGGTGACCAACCCAGGGCGTGATTACATAGTAATGGGAGGTTGTCCTCCCACACTTGCCCCTACCAGAGAGGCCCACCCAAGTTGTCTCGGGCATGGGGTCTAGGAGGGCTACCTCTGAAGACTGAAGGACAATTGGGTAAGGAATGGGCAGACTTGGGACATAGTCCCTGTGGGGAGAGGAGAGAGGGCTTGGAGGAGTGATCCACCTCAGCAAACATTAAGCCCTTATTGTGTGCCAGACACTGGACAAGGTGCTGGCGATCCAAGGGTGAGCAAGTGTCTGTCTTCCCTCAGACTGTAGGTCTGGGCAGTGCTGGGCAGTGATGAGACTGACGGCCAGGTGCTACGATGGAGAAGCAATTCAAGGTGCTGGGCGCTGGGTGCTGGATGAGGGGCGTCTCACCCAGCGGTGGTGGCCCGCCAGGCCATCACAGCCCACCCCGAGGAAGTGCGTGCAGAGAAGGAAAGGGGCTCAGTGTTAAGGCTGGGGTGGGCCCACAGGAAATCCCAGCCCGAGGGGAGGAGGAGAAGGTGGAGAAGGCCAACCAGGCAGCTTCCAGCTGATGACCTTGGCTAGCTGGTGGCTACAGCTCATCCAGCCTATAAAGTAGAAAGGCCCTCGGCCCCAGCTCCCCACTACTGCTGTCCCTGCCAGCCCGGAAAGGAGAGATTCTAGTCCTTGGATACTCTACTTCTCACCCACCTCTGGCCATACCCAGGTCTAGGGCTCAGGGACAGTGCTCCAGAGGCAGATGCTGAATTGCCATCAAGGGATTAGGAAAAGGTCATAGTTGGGAAATAGTTCAGGGGGTCAAGACAATGAAGAGGCTAGGCCAAAATGGGAAAATGAGTCAGGAAGCTGAAAGACAAGAAATTGGGATGGGTTGAGGCAGGTGTTTCAGGCTAAAACCATGACTAATGCAAGGTGTGGGAAGCTGGGTGTTTTGGGGCAGCCTTGGGAGGAGGGGGCTGGCCTGGCAGCCTGGCATGCAGGACTAGACCCCACAGCTGCTCAGGGTGACTATTGTCGTGGCCCAAACAGTGTTTCCATGGCCTAGACCCTTGTTTTTACCTATATTTGCCCGACTCCCTGTGACAGGGTCAGCTCCAGGCCTGGGATGAGGGCTTCTCCATCCCACACATCAAACTTTCAGAGTCTGTCAGGCATCTACTCTGCTCCGGCAAGGGGAAGACTCGAAAAGGTTTAAGACATGGACCCTACCTTCAAGGTATTTGCAATCTGGTTGGCAGAGACATCTTATGCTCACTGGAAAGAGCTTGGAGAAAGACCTAGGTTGACCCTCATCTCGTCGCTTCTCTAGTAGCTAAATGACTATGGGCAGATTACTTAAACTCCCTGCACCTCCATCTTCCCATCTTCAAAATGGGAATAATTAAAACTACCTCCCAGGGCTGTGGTGGAATTCATCCAAGTTGAAGTGACTCAAGCGCCAGGCACAGTGCTTGGCCCATCATAAGTGCTCACTAAATGTCATCTCTCTCCCTGCAACACCAACAAATGATTGCGATGATAAACAGTTCAGTGTGGAGTTGTGGCGTTGACTCTGCTAGTGGATCTGCTCTGAAGGTCTCGATGACAGCTGGGACCTGACCGCCTGGATGGTGATGGTGAGAATATGGGGGCACGGGAGGTGGAGGAGGCTGTGCACACACACACCTCCCTCCGTCGTTTGCTCCTTGCAGTTAGCAGAAGCATACAATTCTTTATTTTCTATCCGTCTCATGTCCATGATGGCAAGGACTCTGCTCTGTAACTGGAGTGTTTTTGTATCTCTAGTAAGAATCAAAAGTTGAATCAGAAGTCAGGCGATCAGTAAGAGGACTGTTACTATTCCCACTTTGGATGGAGGCAGTGGGGGCTCTGAGAAGTAGAGGAAGTGACTTTAGGTTATATGGCCAGGAAGGACTGGACTCGCAGCTCAGGAGGGCAGAGCCACTAGCACACCTGCCCTGGACTGGATGTGAACAAGAGAAGGCTTCTAGGGCGCCTGGGTGGCTCAGTTGGTTAAGCGACTGCCTTCGGCTCAGGTCATGGTCCTGGAGTCCCGGGATCGAGTCCCGCATCGGGCTCCTTGCTCGGCAGGGAGTCTGCTTCTCCCTCTGACCCTCTTCCCTCTCGTGCTCTTTATCTCTCATTCTCTCTCAAATAAATAAAATCTTTAAAAAAAAAAAAAAGAGTAGGCTTCTATCTAACCCATGGAAATGTTGGGTCTCATTGGTTTCGGCCCCCAGCCTACCCTAGCTATTTCATCTCACGGCGCAAGAAGCCAGGTTTAGAAGGCTATGGTCCCCAGGTTAGTGACAGAACAGGCCCACTTGTGGGAACCGCAAACATTGTTCAGGTATTGAGCTCACTCAAGAGTGTAGAAAGAGAGAAGATGCCTCAGCCATCTGTACCAGCCCCCACGAACAGAAACTTTGAGGGAACCTCTGCACCGCATGCACCCAGGGCAGTGCCTAAAGCACAGTAGGGCTGAAGCAGTTTGCATCAAATGAAAGAATGAATGAATACAAACACATGCACATAAACAATATATGCACAACTCTACATACACAGTCACAGGCAAACATGCCCAATGCATAAGTGCTCAGAACCTTCAATTACAGACAAGCAGATACAATACAGATATTTGAATACACATACTCATGCACAACACACACCAGTGCCCAGATACACAAATCCAAATCCAAAATAAAGACACACATAAACGCATGTACTACGCATACACAGATGTTATGGGCAAACATACGTGATCGAGACATGCACAAACACACATCTACTCTCCCCCATACACATACACAGCAATGCCCAGACAACCCTCTACCATGACCCTGGGCCCAGGAAGGAGTCTGTCTGCTCCACGAGCCCTAGCATGTTGGAGCTCGTCGGAATGTTCTTTGCAGCCCCCGCTTAGCTGGCCGATGACTGGCCCCTGGCTCTTGGACCTCCAGGCTTGGCCAGGCAGGGCGGCAGCCTCTCTGGCGGGCCCGCGTGGGTGGGCAGGCAGGCAATGGACACAGAGGTCACTGGGGTGAGAGTTGGGGCTGCCCTGGCCTCTCTGCTCCTGGCTGGAATGTGAGCGGTAGGGGCTACCTCCCCGGCCTCCCCCTCTCCCACGGCGCCCACCGGCCCCAGGTTCAGGCCAATCCCTGACTCCTGCCAGGTTCTTGCAGCCAGGGGGCTGTGCAGGGAGGGCAGTGGGGGGTGACAAACACGCAAGGACTGCAGGAGGACACACACAAATGCCCAGAGATGCACAGTCTTACACGGAAGCCAGGCCAGATATTCACCCACACAGAAAGACACACAAAGACATAGGCAGGCATACAGACTCACAGTCCCACTCAAATGCACATTCAGACACACTTGCAAACACACCTAGAGACACAGCGGACACATACACACACCACCACACAAGGATACAGAGATGCTGAGAGGCCAGACCCACACACAAGCCGCACTTGAACATACAGCAGACACACACAGATAGACACTCAGACCACATAGACTCATGGCACACGTGGACCTCCACAGTCACACACAAATGCCCATGCACATGCACACCCACACACCCCCACCCACACACACACCCCTAGAGGCAGACCCCTGCCGAGTTAGAGCATTTCCTCCTTCTCCTGGGACAGGGAAGAAATGCGGCACTAGGCCACTCTCCAAACTACATGTGGCAGCCTGAGAAAGCCGCTTCCCACAGGAGAAAATGGTGCTGGACCCTCAGCCAGGTGTGGGGTGCCCTGCTGTCTGCGTGCTTGGCCAGAAGTATGCCTAGGGTGGAGAGGCGGCTCTGGAGCCCACGCTTGTGTGTTGTCTCTGTCAGTTCCTCAAAAACACACAGACACACAAGTACACCCTTTTCAAGAGTGCATATGTATGTACCACATACACAGGCAGGGGCACTCTGGGAACCTCGGTTTCTTCATCTGTAAAATCTATAAAACCCTCCTTTCACCCCTGAGGACTGTGGGATGGCATAGGTGGCACACTGCTGCCTTCCTAGGGTTCTGCAGCTGCAGTTTCTGCAGGGGCCGCTAAAGTCAGGAGCCTCGTAGCAAACACTGGGCTCCACCACCCGGCTGCCCGCACTCCCGCCGGCCTAGAGGAGCGGGAGCGCAGCCGTCCGCCCCTCGGCGGGTCGGCACTGGGTGCCGCCTAGGTCACGGCGGCCCCGGGGGCAGCTGCGGGCTGGGCGGTGGCGGCGGCGGCGGGGCGGGAGCCGCAGCGGCGGGGGACGAGGGGTGGGTGGGGTTGGGTGGGGGGCGTCCCTTCCGCGCAAGGCGGCCCGGGCGCGCTCGGGTCCGCGTCGCCGCCGCCGCCGCCACCCCAGCCCCGCGAGGCGCTCGGCCGCTCCCAGGCCTCGTCGACGGTGGGCGGGGCGGGCCTGCAGCCCCGCCCCACTCACGGCCCTTGAAACCCAGTCGCCAACAGGCTGCAGTCCCAGAAGGGAGCTGCAGTCTGAAGAGGAGACTGCGTCTCCCCTGGCCAGCCAAGAGAGGCCCTGGGGTCGCGCTGGGCGCCCGACGGGCCCTCCCCAGGGACCCGCCTGCCCCACACCGCCCCGCCTCGCCGGGCGCTCCGCATCAGGTGCCCCGGCCCCAGCCCTGCCTGCGGGCTCCAGGCTCCTGGGGCGTCCAGAGGATGCTCAGGCCACCTGCGGGGACCTCGGGGCAGCAGTGAGGTCCTCTCCTCCTGTGCCAGGGGCTCCCCCAGGGGGCCGAGCATGGTGGTTTTCCCTTGGAACCTCCTGGCTTGGGACGTCTGAGAAGATGCCTGCCATGAGGCTGTTCACTTGCTTCCTGCAGCTCCTGGCTGGGCTGGCACTGCCCGCTGTGCCCCCCCAGGTAAGACCTATCCCAACCCCAGCCTGGCCCCCCTAATCTTCCCAGCCTCCAGCACTCGAGGCAGGGGTTCTGAAATCACAGACCCCCTCGGGGGAGCGGCACCTCCATGGATGTCCACATACTTCCCAGGAGCCAGGCTGGACCACGTCTTCCGGGAGGAGACCTCAGGCTGGGCTGTCCCAGACTCCAGCTCCGGGGTCTGTCTTGGCGGGGGCAGGGAAGCCACAGGGAAGGGAGGGAGGTTTCCTGTCTGGCCCCTGGAGCCCTGGTGGCTTTGCTAAAAGCATCTCTGCACTAATCCCTGGCGGGTCCCTGTCCTTGTGGTCAGGGTCGGGGCCCCATGACCAGGCAGGCGCCCCCAGGACCTCTGACCTGGCCTGGTGGTGGGGAAGGCAGCTGAAGAGGCCATTGGTGGGGAGGCTGGGCCCTGCCCCCACCACGGCTCTGGGTGAGCCCAGGGCTTCTGGGTGGGCTGCGGGTGAGACAAGAGGTCCTGCTGTGCCCTCTTTCCCCGGGTGGGCAGTCGCAGTTCCTGTGTGCAGGGCCTGGGGAAGCGAGCAGGGCCCTTTTCCCAGGAGCCGGGTGAGTCTGGCTGGGAGCCAGCTTGGGCAGTGAAATCCTGACAAAGCCAATGAGATCCCTTCCCACTGCACTGTCCTGCTGCCCCAGGAGTCTCCAGCTCCAACCGAGGAGCGGGTGGGCTGGGCAGCCCTGCAGGACGGAAGAGCCCCACTACCTACCTGCCGCTGCCTGTCCGCTGTGGGGCTGGCCAGAGGTGTAACCTTACCCGCAGGACCAGCTCCTGGCGCCACCGGCTCCAGCCCCTCAGCTCCCACCAGCTGATCACCTCCCCCGAGCTCTGGCGCCCAGCCAAGGCGTGCTGCACAGGGGCCCGCAGGGCTGGCCTGGGGCTGGGGAGAAGGGAGACCCCGAAGGATTGCAAGATATTTGAGACACAGAAGGCAAAGGGTCTCCCAAATCCTCTAGCCTCCCACTCTTTCCAAATGAGGAAACTGAGGCCAGAGAGAGGGATGGGATCCATCCGGGTCCAGGGAGGTTTTAGCTGCACTCCGAAAGAGGCGGCTCTGAGACGGGGCCGAGTGTGGGCAGCGGGTGGCAAGGAGCTCAGAAGGGCCTCTGCCCTCTCGCCAACTCGGCCACAGAGTGCAGAGGCCCCAGGTGGACCCCCCTCACCTCTGCCCCTTTCTGTCCGCAGCAGTGGGCCTTGTCTGCTGGGAATGGCTCATCAGAGGTGGAAGGTAAGCACACTGGGCTGGGGATGCACATGCTCACCAAACCCGCTCCTCCCAGTCCTCTGCACAGAATAAGAAGGGATTGGCATCAAGGATGGGCACGGGCTGATAGGAAGTTCAGGAGAGTCTGCAAGCTGGCTGACATCCTGGCTGACAAAGTTGGCAGGACCTGAGAGATCCTTCTCTTGGGACCTAGAGGCCTAGTGAGGTGTGTTCCTGGGCCAGGGTCACCCAGCCTACAGAGAGTGAGGCTGGGGCCAGTATACCCAGGGTGCGTCCAGTTGGCTTGGAGCCCCTTCCCAACGTGATGTAAGGAGGCAGGTGGGTTCTCGGAGGGCAGTGCAGGCAGTGAGAGCTAGGGGCTGCACTAGGGGTCTGGGAGCTGGTTGCAGTGGGCAAGCAGTCAAGAGGATTAGGGAGGGGTGAGGGGGCCTTCCCAAAGCCCAGCCCTGGCGGAGCTGCGGGGATCTGACCAGGCCTTTCCATTGATTACAAACAGAACATGAGTCCTGCCCTCCCGGGCCCCTCCACTCCCCACCCTGGGTTGCATCAAGAGGGAATCTTCAAAGGGTGTGTCATTTGCCAAAGAGACATACGTGCAGAAGGCAGGAGTCCCATGCCAGGCCCCCTGCCTCGCTCCTCCCTCCCTGCCTCTCTGGGACGTGCAGCAAAGCCACACACCACTATTGAGGCTTCCTATCGTGCCGTGGGGAGAGGGAGCGTGTAGGGGCGTGCACACGCACACTCGTGATAGCCTCCGAAAGCGGGAACACCCTCCCTCTGCTGCCCTGCCCGCCTGGTGGCCAACCTCTCCTGGGCCTGGCTATGCTTCTGGGCCCCTCGGGCACGGAGTCCCAGGCCCCTCGGGCACGGAGTCCCAGGCCCCTCGGGCACGGAGTCCCAGGCCCCTCGGGCACGGAGTCCCAGGCCCCTCG